CTTCAGTTCTCAATATGCTTTTGGGGGGGGGGGCCCAGGTGGGCAGGTTAGCTGACCCTGAGACCCACTCAGGTTTCCTGGTGGTTGCAGCTCCCCAGGGCCTTCTTGCACCCCAAAGTCAGGTGTCCCACGAAATGCCAAGTGCGGGCGCCCATGTACAGTGCGATTGAAACTTCGTGGCCCATGTGCAGAAGTCGGTATTTTGTGGAAGAGCCACACTCAAGGGGCCAAAGAGCCGCCTGTGGCTTGCGAGCCACAGTTTGCCGACCACTGCCCTAACCGGTTTGGCTCAGTGGATGGAGCGTTGGCCTGCGGACTGAAGGGTCCCAGATTCGATTCCAGTCAAGGGCATGTGCCTTGGTTGTGGGCACATCCCCGGTGGGGAGTGTGCAGGAGGCAGCTGAATAGATGTTTCTCTCTCATTGATGTTTCTAACTCTCTATCCCTCTCCCTCTCCATTCCTCTCTGTAAAAAATCAATAAAATAAATTTTTTTAAAAAAAGAACAAAAGCAAGACCTGGGGCCACCCACTGGGCAGAAAGCCTGGGCGATGGGGAAGTAGGGAAGTAAGCAGCCCACAGATACCTTTCTTGGGGCCACCCAGTCCCCAGGGCACCCCCGGATCTCTGGGTCCTCTGGTGGGGACTGAGGGGGGGGCTGGAGACCCACAGGATTCTTTCTGTTCCCTCTCCACCCCCAGAGCCCCTTGGAAAATGAGGCGGAGTGCGGAGCACAGACATTCCGAAGGCAGGGGGTCCAGGGCTGTGGGAGCCTGGCCGGGGAGGGGTCTGGCAGGGCTGCACTGAGGGTCGTCAGGGATAGTTAGAAATGGCCACACAGAGTGCAGGCAGCTCTGGAGACAGAATGGAACTGGACCTTTTGGGGGGCTGAACAGCAGCTAGGGAGCGTGGCAGCATGTGGTCCCAGCCCCCCCTGGGGAGGAGAGACTGTGGGGGGATCAAGGTTCAGGGAGCCCAGGCAAAGAGAGAGGTGCTGAGAGAGGAGCTGGCGGGAGAAGTGCCGGGGAGGCAGGGTGGTGACAGGGCGGCGCCTGCCTGCCCGGCGGCCCCCAGTCCTTTGCCCAGCAGACCCTGCGCACGCTGTGCCTGGCCTACAAAAAGGTAGATGAGGACACCTACCAGGAGTGGTGCCGGCGGCACCAGGAAGCCAGCATCCTTCTTCAGAACCGGGCCCAGGCCCTGCACCAAGTGTACGAGGAGATGGAGCAGAACCTCCAGGTGGGCGTGGCACAGGAGGTGAGGGGGCTCCACATCCAGGTTCCAGCCCTGGGTCCCCAGATCTCCCTCCCCCGCCTGAATAGCTGAGTCCCTGCTCAGTCTGTTCCCTGTGCCCCCACCTCCACCCCCAGCTGCTGGGAGCCACAGCCATTGAAGACAGGCTCCAGGACGGCATCCTTGAAACCATCCAGTGTCTCAAGCAAGGAAACATCAAAGTGTGGGTGCTCACAGGAGACAAGCAAGGTAGGTCCCCGGGCAGCCGCCCCAGCAGGGAGAGAGGGAGATGGGTGAGAGGCAACTCATGTGTGTCCCAAGCGTCACCATCAGCCTGTTCCAGTTGTCCTGGGAAAGGGAGAAATAGGATGATCAGAACTGGTGGGGTCCCCCAGGCACCTCCCTCAGATGGGTGACACTGCGCCAAGAACTTCTGGAGTATTTGGCTCTCATGGCAACACCATGAGTTGGACCAGTGAGTTCAGCGACCTCAGGGCACTTGCTGGAGGTTGCCCAGCCACTTCGAAACAAAGCTGGCATTCGCTCATGTGGCGGGAGGCACATACACACACAAAAGATTTAAAATGACAGTTTACAGCTGTGCTGGAATAAAGACAAATGTCCAGGTTGGAATACATTCACTTTTTCTTCTTCTTCTGATTTTAAAGAAATTAAGTCATTTTTGTGGGTTCCTAAAAGTGCCTGTGGGCTCTAGGCATGACATATCTAATAATGATCCTTGGCCCAGACTCACTTCCCTCTAGTAGCCCAGCCCCAGCCAGCCAGAGTGCAGGCCCCTTTGATCAGAGCTGCAGCCAAAGTCTCAGGGTTGGCTCGCATTGGCCAGCCTGGGTCACATGCCCTCCTCTGAACCAATCACCATTGCCAGGGGGTGGGGCAGGGTGGGCTTGGCCCCGGGAGCTGCCAGGGGCTGAGCTAGGCTGGTTTTCAGAGACTGCGGTGAATATCAGCTTTGCCTGCCAGCTGCTGTCCGAGGACATGCTCATTCTGGAGGAGAAGGAGATAGTGTAAGGAGTGGGAGTGGGGGAGGATGAGCTGGTGGGAGCAGGGTGAGGGTGGGGGATCGGGGACATCCATGGCTCAGATGTGGCCCTGGGGGTCTGCAGAACGTCCTCAGCCTCCGCCTGGCTGGATTCCCAGAGGGGGAAACTGAGGCACATCTGGGGAGGGGAAGGAAGGAAGCTTGTGCCCGGACGTGGCTGAGCCCCAGTGGGTCTCTGCAGTCAGATCCTGGAGGCCTGCTGGGAGAGCAACAACAACCTGCCGAGTGGCCAGGGGTCTCTGAAGAACCGGTTCCCACCACAGGTCAAAACGGCCATGGTCATTAACGGAGAGTTCCTGGTCAGTGTCGGCTCAGGGCTAACCGCGGGGCCTCTGGCACGTGGGCGGGGGCTGGGTGGAGCAGCAGACGGGGGGGTGGGGGTGGACTATTGGAAAAGCCCAAGTGAATGCTACACCAAGAGATGATTCTCAGAGGGACTGGAGCCATGAGGTCAAGGCTAGCCTGGGGTTGGGGCAGGGGGCAGGAGGGGTGTTCACGAAGGGAAGGGGTGCAGGCAGAGTGATGCGCCCCCCTCCCCCCACCCCCCTGCTGGCCAGGACCAGCTGCTGCCACCCCTGAGCAAGGATTCCCAGGTGCTCGTCGGAAATGTGAACGTGGACGGGCAGGAGCCCTGGCAGGAGCCCGGTGAGCGGAGGACAGACGTCCGGCAGGCCAGGCGCACCTCTCTCATGTGGCAGACCCTGGGGGTCCAGCTGAGGCGCCCGGGGTTGGTGCCAAAGAACAAGCACTCCAACACCCGCGAGAGCCCCGAGGCGCGGCGGGAGCGGGCCTTCGTGGAACTGGCCTCGCGATGCCAAGCCGTCATCTGCTGCCGGGTGACTCCCAGGCAGAAGGCCTTGATGGTGGCGCTGGTCAAGAAATACCAGAACGTGGTGACCCTGGCCATCGGGGATGGTGCCAACGATGTCAACATGATCAAGAGTGGGTGGCGGGCACCCGGCCCGGGGGAGGCCTGTGGCGGGCTGGGAGGCGGGTGGGGGGGCCAGGGCCAACAGGCCGCGTGTGTCCCCGCAGCGGCGGACATCGGCGTAGGGCTGGCGGGCCAGGAGGGCATGCAGGTGGTGCAGAACAGCGACTACATGCTGGCCCAGTTCCACTTCCTGAGGCGGCTGCTGCTGGTGCACGGGCACTGGTCCTACATGCGAGTGTGCAAGTTCCTGCGCTACTTCATCTACAAGACGCTGGCCAGCATGATGGTCCAGATCTGGTTCGCTTTCTACAGCGGCTTCTCTGCCCAGGTGCGCTGGAGGGAACAGCCCTTTGGGGATTCTCTGGGATGCTGGGCCCTTCTCCTGGCTTCCAGGAGGGCGGCAGGCTCGCGCACACTCCGGGGTCCTCTGGGGCAAGGCTGGCCTGATGTCACAGGGCAATGCGACCTTCTCCCTGGCTGCATTCATGCAAGTATAGAGTCCGGATAGAGGGAGGGATCTTCCTGCCCAGCTGAGTGCCCAGCAGTTCCAGGGATATTTGACAGATCTGAGCTGTGAAGCCAGGCAGGGCAGCTACTCCAAAGGTAGGTCTTTCTAGGGGAGACAGGATACGCTTGAGCCCCAGAGAAGAGAAGATTGTGGGAGCTGGGTCCCTGACTTCAAGACTCAACAGTAGCACGGTGAGGAGCAGATGTGCCCGGAGTCTCGGAAGAGTCATAGAGAGATGATTTCCTGTGTGTAAGGACGTCGTCTGAAGATAGATGGCCGTGATAGGGAATAGCTCCCTGTCACTGATACCAAGGCTTTGAGAGGGAGCTTTACAGAGGCACCTGGATAACTTGTATGTTGTTTGCTTTACTGTTTTGTCTCTAGATATTTTATTCTTTTAGATGCTGCTGTACATGGAATTGCTTTCTTAATGCCCTCTGGGGATGGCTCATTGCTGGTGTGCAGAAACACAGATGATTTTTTGGGATGTTGATCTGTGCCCTGTACATTTGCTGAATTCCTTTATTGGCTCCAGGAGATTTCTGGCGGATCCTTTGGGATTTTCTGCATGTCATCTGAAAATAGAGATCGTTTTCCTTCTTCCTCTCCATGTGGACGCCTTTTATTTCCCTTCCTTACCTACTTGCTCTGGCTGGAACGCCCAGTGAGATGGAGAGGGCTGGCATCCTGGTCTTGTTCCTGAGCTTAGTGAGGACAGTGTTCCGTCTTCCTACATTTGTTAACTAGAATTCTTCTGTAGGAAGAGCCAACCATTCCTTCTCCCTCATTTATTTATGAAATTATTTATTTTTATTATTTTTTTAGATATATATATATATTTTTAAAATATATTTTATTGATTTTTCACAGAGAGGAAGGGAGAGAGATAGAGAGTTAGAAACATTGATGAGAAAGGAACATTGATCAGCTGCCTCCTGCACACCTCCTACTGGGGATGTGCCCGCATCCAAGGTACATGCCCTTGGCCGGAATCGAACCTGGGACCCTTCAGTCCGCAGGCTGGTGCTCTATCCACTGAGCAAAACCGGTTAGGGCTTTAGATATATTTTTATTGATTTCAGAGGGGAAGGGAGAGGGAGAGAGAGATAGAAACATCAATGATAACAGAGAATCATTGATCAGCTGCCTTCTGCAGGCCCCCAACTGGGGATTGAGCCCACAACCCTTGACCAGAATCGAACCTGGGACCCTTCAGTCCACAGGCCGATGCTCTATCCACTGAGCCAAACTGGCTAGGGCTGAAATTATTCATTTTTATCAGTATGGACCCATGGACATTTATTTGATTGTATGTTTTATTGCTCCATTTATCCCCGATGTGTCTTTTTGACATGGCCTGCTTCTCTCTGAGCATATCTTCACTTTCTGGTACTACAAGAGGTTCCAGGCTCATTCTGTTTTTTCTTTGCCCCAACCCTGGAATCGGGCACTCCCATAAGGAGTGCTGGTCCTTTTCATTAGAGAATGGTAGTTCGTTCTTGGTGTCTCATTGCTGCTGGGGTGCTATTCCGCTCTCAGCAGACAGAGCTAGGAAATGTACACATACCATCCCATGGATAGACGCACATCTCTATGTCTTTCTCTATTTCTATGTCTGTCTATTTTTTTAAAAATCCTCACCCGAGGATATTTTTCCATTGATTTTTAGAGAGTAGAAGAGAGGGGGAAAGACAGAGAGAAATATTGATGTGAAAGAAACACATCGATTGGTTGCCTCCTGCATGCGCCTTGACCAGGGCCCCAGGCTGGGAGGAACTTGTAACCACGGTATGTGCCCTTGACCAGAATCTAACCTGGGATCCTTTGGTCCGCAGGCCGATGCTCCATTCACTCAGCCAAACCAGCTTGAGCTATGTCTGTCTATCTATCATCTATCTTGTGTGTACTAAAACACTATGAGTTACCCTGACCAGTTTGGCTCAGTGGCTAGAGCGTCGGCCTGTGGACTGAAGAGTCCCAGGTTTGATTCTGGTCAAGAGCATGTACCTTGGTTGCAGAGCACATCCTAGGGTGGGGGGGTGGGTGTGTGTTCTCGGAGCACCCGAGGGAGTGTCTCTCTCTCTCATGAAGTTTCAAACTCTATCCTCTCTCTCTCTCTCTTGAAAAAACAAAAAAAAAACCCAGAGAGCACACAAGAGACTCACTGGGTGTCTTATTCGGGCCACAATCTGCTGCTATTTTAACTTTTTTAGTGTCATATATAT